GAGGATGTCCTTCTTTTCTCTCATAACTCTTTTTGATAAAACAAAACATGGCAAGGTGGCCATCTTTAGTGAATTTATCAACAACAACAATTTTTAAGATAATTTGTGATCGAGTAGTCAGTGATTCTATTAGTAAAGGGGTTGTGACATTATAACTTGTTGTCAAACCTTGACCCTTTCAAATTAAATGATTGTTACAAATTATAATGTTTTTTTTAAAGAGGAGTTACTTATAACGCCTTTGCCCCCCCTTGTGAGTGGAAGAGATTCTTATGTATCTCTATTGCAACAAGAATGTCTTGGGACAGATCTATTTGGAGATCTCTTATACTCTTGGAAAGGGTCGAAGATGACCCAAACCTCGTGATTTCGGAATCTTGTTCTTTAAAAAACATAATGAATACAGGGACATAGATTTAGCATTCTTGATTGACAAAGGAATGAGAAAGTTGTCTCATAAATTTAAATGAGAGCTTGAAAGGGCGTGACATATTGTGATGTTCATTCTCAATATGAGCAAGCTGTTGTTCATGTTTGGCTATTAGCCAAGATTTCTGTTGGATCATCGCGAGTAGATCATAAAATGGGTGGCATGTGAACTGGAGTGAAATGTTAGATAATTTGTTGCATATTTGTTGCATGAAGAATAATTTGTTAATTGGTTTCTAGATTAAATATCGATCAAAGATGATGAAAATGTAATTGTTTCGTCAATAAACAACATAGTAGACCCCCAACCACATCTCTCACAACCCTAATTTTGATTGACTTTTTGAGCCATATAATTTGTAACAACAATATGTTGTTGTTATTTATGGGTTTGATTTCCACAAATGAAGCTAGTGAACCTAGATCGACAATGTAAGAAAACATTAATGCTGGTATAGATCAAAGAAAAAAATCCTTGGAGGGTGTAAGATGGTAGGATTTTAGACAATGTGTCCTTTAAATTAAATCATATGCTTATATTTGACTAAATACTCTTTTTGGTCTTATATCTATACTTTGTAGTCTATTTTGGTCCCTTAACTGTTTAAAAGACCAATTAAATCTCTTAATTTTTTAAACAATGTCACATTTGTTTTTTCTTTTAGCTTTGTTATTCAAAGTCGTTAATATTTTCCATGTGATGTCTACCTAGCACTTATGTGGATACCAATTGAATAAATGATTCCCTATATAACAAGGAAACCAAGTGTGTTGATGTGTCATTTTGTTTTCATTTTTTAACTCAAAAAATCCTAAGTTAGTTCATGGAGGCAATGAAAATAGTGGAGGCCTTCGAGAGAAGCTCTTCTTAAGCAAAATAACAGGTGAGAAAAGCCATTATTAGTGGGGGGCGAGGGAAAATGCGCATTTCAAGATAAAGATTTTAAATTGGTTAGTGTGTTTTACGTATTTTTGATTTAGTTTTTTTATTCAAATGCCATCTATTTTAGGTTTTACGATTTATAGTTTTCAAATGCTATCTCTTATTGATTATATGTTTTATATTCGTTTTTAGTTTTAAGTTTAAGTGAAATGTTAGTTTTTAGGTTATACGTTTTCAGTTTTAGGTTTAAGTGAAATGTCAGTTTTTAGGTTATATGTTTTCTATTTGCTTTAGGTTTTCAGAATTTTTTTCTATTCGCCCCCTTTCTAAAACTTCTCAAACATTAAATGATATTACTAGTATAAACTTAAACTCTAAAACTGATATGTAAACATGGTATGCATGGGATGTCATAAAATAGCCTAGTATAACTGGTATGCATATTTTATTATAAATGGCATACATAGCCTGGTATAAACTAGTATAGCATGTATGTATATCCTACTATAACTTGCATCCATAACATGGCAAAACCTGGTATAACATGTATGCATATCCTACTATAACATTGACTGACATAAACATAGTCTGGTATAACATGGACTGTGTACATAAAATTAGGGCATAAGCATAGTTAAACACTCATAAATTGGTATACATAAAAAAGAAGGTATAAACATGAAAAACACGATACAACTTTCATTCAATTGCTTAAAATGTAACATTACAATTGCTACAAAAGTAACATTACAATTGTTACAAAAGTAACATTACAACAACAAAACAACAAAAAACCAAACAAAACATTTCATTTGTTACAAGGTTAAGTTTATGACAGCTTGAGCACCAAACAAGTCAGAATACATAAAATAATGTCTTCCAAATTTTCTTCCATTTCATGTTGTTCTTCAAAACCACTTCAAGTGTTGAAATTTCTTGCTTTTGTGCCTCAATTATGGCTCTTTGTTTTTCAAGATTGTGAACATGCTTCTCATTTTCTTTTATTAACGGTTCCAACCTCATTTTTTCCTTTATCATAAAGTGATCATTCTTTTCTTCAACTTCTTTATAGAAACAGTCACAGAACCCATACCCAGTTTGGGTAGAGCCCTGTGTACATCAACAAACATATTTGCTACCCAGATTTTTTGAGTAGCAAGATGACAAAATATGGATACTAGGTTACGCTAAAATGGGACATTCCCAAAATTACTTTTAATAATTGCTAACTATTGTTGCCCTGCGAAGTACAACAATGTTTCCACAACGACAATTGGATCCCCTCCACAATGGATGAACAACGCCTAAAATTCATTATTTCTTTCGATTCAATGTATGAATTCACGAGTTTGAGCTATGGGGATGATATATATGGAACTTTATGCCCTAAATCAATCTAGGGTTCAAACCTGCAAACATGTTAGAAGAAAAACAAACCAAACGAAGAAGGTGACGACTATGTTGCTAAGTAGGATGTCACGTGTGCATAAATAAACATCGTTAAGGAGAATTAGACATAAAGAATTTTCATGACATTGTTTGAATTTTTAAGGGATTCAATTGATCTTTTTAAAAGTTAATGAATCAAAATGAACTCGGAGATATAGGTACGGGATTAAAAAGTGTATTTGGAATTCATATTTATAAGAACTCTAATTTTTTTCAGTTTAAGCTTTAAATTTGGTGTGTTTCCCTATATGAGATCTCCTATATCATTGTCTAATTATTATTGGATGGAATGGATGAGATCACCAAATATACTTGAGATAACCTCTATGTTGTCTCCATAATAAGGTTTATAATGCTTTTTCAATAGCAAGTAACTTGGTTAAGTAGAATCACGATCAGAGCTTCCATTTTTTGTGTTAGAGAGTCTGAGAGGATATTAAAAGCAAACAATAGACCATTGTTCTAAAATTATAAGAGAAGTAGATGCCACATCTCCACCTAATATCTTACCATATATGATATATAAATCATTTATAAATTTTTGGAATTAGTTGAAAATATACATGTTAAAGAAGTTACACATCGTTTAGTTTTATAAAGGAATAGAGAGTTCAAGACTATATAAATGATTCAAGTTCTTCGTTGCAATTGATGGGTCATCATGAGGGGGAAGCATTTGCATTGGGTCAAACACTCACCTAAAGGTCAAAGATTCATTCAAACAAGTGAGAGAGACACCACATATTCACTCAAAACCTTAAGGTGATGGTGTATGAGTTCTCTTACTTATAAGGTGCTTAACCTCCACTTTTCTAAGCAACGCGGGACTTAGAATTCACACTTGTTTCTCCATACAACTCATACTTATTTCTCAACAATCTCCCCCTCAAGTGTGATTCCATCCGCTATGCTCTCCCTCAAGCGGAAGATCTTTCATCCACATGATTGTATCGCTGTTGAGAGACAAATTTATCTCATCATGGGCACTTCAACAAAACACGCCACCAGACCAACATGTCAGGGAGACTTTCAACACAAAGAGTCGGTCCCTTACTCAAACTAGGATTTGATACCACTGATGGGTCATCATGAGCGGAAAGCATGCACACTGGGTCAAAGACTCATTCAAACAAGTGAGAGAGACCCCACATATTCATCCAAAATCTTAAGGTGATAGGTGTATAGGTCCTCTTACTTGTAAAGTGTTTAACCTCCACATTTATAAGCAATGTGAGACTTAGAACTCACACTTGTTTCTCTACACAACTCACACTTATTTTCCAACAACAAGATGTATCAATCAAAAACACTTTAAATTTGTATTTAACTTTTTATATTTTTTTCTTATACTCTTGCGTCAGAATGTTGTGAGTAGTTATATATTTGTTTTAGAGAGTGTTGGTGTATTGAGGTATTAGATTAGTTAAGAGTAATCGATATGTTGTAACAATTTTTGTATAATATTATTCTTTGATTATCAATTAACAATGATCGTAATTTTTTTTCTTTTGATTTTATAATATCAACGTTAAAATTTTGTATTGTTATTGTGTTACTCTTTTTTCATTTAATATTTCTAACATGGATCATATATTTTATATATTCATCATTTATTAATTCCTAATAAACTTAAAACTCACCACTAGACATTTAAATCCAAAAATATCCCGTCACATTAGAGTTCCAAAAAGTCCAACCGTTCCTAGCCGTCCATAATTTTGTTGGTTGGTTACAATTAAAATCTCTAGTGATACTATACTGAAAATAAATAACAAATACAAATTAGAGAGGATATTCTACAAGAGAACGCATGCAATGGTATATTGATGATTTTGTGCATGGTGCAATCGTGTATAAAGCCAACACCATCTCTATTCACACCAACTTATTCCATGGTATATTAATTCATTGCTAGGCTGTTTCCTCATCATCTTTATTCACTTGTTTTGTGACCAATCTTTTGTGGTTGCCAACCTTACACAATAAGTGGAGGACAATTACTCCCATGTCAACAGTTAGGAATAACTTTTCACCTTTTATTCACACAAAAAGTAGAATCATATTCCAAAACTTCATTGCTACAATGTTGCCTATTTATACCAATATTGTCCTTACATGTTCAAGGCTTGTAATATCTAGCATAGCAAAATGACCAATGTAAGAATCAATATAAAATTCACTTACTAGCTATTTCTTAATTTTATTATGCAGCTATGGAAATTATCAATGCTTTATTGTTATGTGTAATCAGGTAGTGGAAGTGAAAGTTGGTTTACATTGTGATGAGTGTATCAAGAAAATTCTCAAGGCCATCAAGAAGATTGAAGGTAGATGATTTTTTTTTTGTTCTCTATTATCTACAACATATAACAACTAAAAATCTATGTAACCTTGTAGATATCGAGACATACAACGTGGACAAACAATTGAACAAGGTTATTGTTACGGGGAATGTTACCAATGAAGAAGTGATTGGAGTTCTTCATAAGGCTGGCAAGAATGCAACTGTGTGGGAAAATGTTCAATGTTGAAACCATAATTTCTTTTTAAGTAAACTATATTTAAGCTTTCTTTATCATATAAGAAACATATAGAACTATGCATGATGTGAAGTTCTATCATCTATTTAGAGTTTGTAGAGGCATGGTTATATATCTACTCTACTAAGTTTTGTAATTTTGTCCTTTGAGTATAACACATATGATAGGGAGCTAGTAGATGAAAGGAGAGTTACATCAAATTTCATTATACTTACTTAACTTGTTTTTTTGCTTGCTATATAATAAGCGTTTTCCCATGTTTTAGTCTCATGAAAAACTGATGTACGAAACTTTTCCTTCAAATTCCACATTATTTTTGGTTTTGGTCATTGGAAATTGGTCTATATTGAAATTAGTGTCTAGATAATTTTGGATATTAAAATGAATATAATCCAGCATTTTGGGTTCTATGTTTTTTTTATTATATATATTTGTCCTTAGTGAGGGTTTCTAGATCTCTTTATCTACTCTAAGTGTGTTTGATAGATAAAAGGGTTGTGCGAGCTGATTTTTATTTGAGTGAGGATTTCTAGATCCATTTATCTACTCTAAGTGTGTTTGGTAGATAAAAGGGTTGTGCAAGCTAATTTTTATTTGCGTAAAGGAAATTTTAGGAAAAAGATGTTTATGTTTTATGGGATTTCAATTTTGTATGTTCAACTAGTGAGAGGAATGAGATCGCCAACTCTTTTTGGTCTTATAGTGTAAATTGTTTTTGAGGGCAGGACAGGGAGCAAGAAAGCACCCTCCACACATTCTATGTTTCGTTGACATCCCTATACCGGACCTCGCGCGACCTCTACTGCCCGTTGAATATATTCTTAAGGTTTTTGTTGAGCAGCATTCACCTCTTCATCGAGAGCCTTCAAAGTATTGACTTGGTCATCCTTCTTCTGCTGATGAGTTCCTAATTTGATTTGAACGGTCGACACATTTCAGCTGCATCTTCAAAAACCTTCTTGCACCGCTTCTCCCCGTCAATAAGGAACGCCTTCAACCTTTCTAAGCCAAAATGGAAGTTCTATCATACCGATTCGCCTCTTACCGCAAAAAGTTGAGAGCATCAGCATTCTCCTGAAACTCAGCCAATCCCTTAACTCCTCTCGTTCCCTTAAAAGCTCTACATGACCCAGAACGTCATCTTGTCAAGCAACGACAACTTAAACAAGGGACCCGACCCTGAATAAAGTACAGGAAGCATCTATAAGAAGACTTTGCCTGTCAGTTGCAGATAAATCCCGGATGAAATCCAGGTCCGTAGCATCCACGGTAGTAACAAACTCCTCTATGGTGTTAGATACTCCTGAAGGTAGAATAGTAGTAAGCCAGAAGAAAGGAGTCAAAGCACTCTACTTGCTACCCTCTGCCAAGCTGGCCCATTTGAGAGAACCTCATTCAACAAAAGTGGACAGACTATTACCCCGACCCATTTTAACAAGGGAAAAATAAAGTGAAGGTCCTCGAGCAGACAAATCAGCTATGACAACAGTCGGTTGACCCATTTTAGGAGTCGGATCTTGAACAGTAGTTTCGGCTACCGTTAGGGCAGTCACCACGACAGGAATTAGAACCTCTGGGATAAAAGTAGAAACAACAACACGTGCCATCAGCACCGGGACGGACAAACCAATAATAAGACCCTGATCATTCGCGAGTGTCAGACCTTTCCACAATTGACTCAACTGATTCATGTTATTTGTGAAAGCATGATTTGCACGGGAAAAAAGTGTGTGGATCCTCATCCTCACCAAAGAGTTTTTGTGTCTCAGAATGTTTATAGGCAATAACGATCGCGCGAGTATCTATTGGTATTTTCTTTTGTTGAAAGGAAAATACTTCGCTAGGACAAAACCCTTCTTCATATCTAAGTCCTTAATACCAAACATATAAATCCTCTTTCCTTTTCACTTCTTCAAATTACAGAGGAGTTGGCCCAGAATGATAAGAAGAGATAGGCCGGGAGAAATGAGATCTAGACCAATATTTTCGAAAGCCACTTCTACAAGAACAAGCACTCCCCACCGAAACCAAAGACATCAACATGGTCGTATGTGCCTCAAAAGTGATAGGTTTTACCAGTAAGAAACACTGTAGAAAGTCCCCTCATTTAGAAGCGAAAGGGTTAAACCAAAGTATATGAGGACGACGAGAGATTAATTGTTGATCCCAAGCATCATCCAACAAAGTATGAACCACGGAGAAGAGGTCAAAGAAGAGACTCAATGAAGGTTTCAAATACTTGTACCCAGCACAAAGATGGAAAACATCCATGAAGGCCTAGACCCCATGATGAAGCTACGGGGAGGAGACTTTTAGATGGTTCATCACGATCACCTCATATTCAGATAAGGGTAGACGTATTCCCAAACTAGTGAAAAGAAACTCGTACAGGGAAATAGAGAACCCATTGAAAGAGTTACATACCCTCTCATCCGAACCTACTGGCATAATCGTCCAATTAGGGCAATTGTCAATTGTGATGTTAGCCTAGGTTACAACTTCGATGGTATTCATAACGGAAAGAGACCCGAGTATTTCAGCAGCCACTGAATGGTACTTAATTGCATTAGTTGGCTCTATTAACCGAATACTTGTATGGGCCAACACATCAGCTCTATGATGATCACCTGGATTGACCTAAGACACAGTATCCTGCCGCCTTTGGCACTCTATATAACAAGAAATGTCAGCGTCATTAGGGTCATGACCAATCGACTCCCAGTATGTTTAAAAGATGCGACATGCATATTCTCTCCTATGATAAACGACTTATATTTCCTCGTCGATCAAAATAGGTAGAACATTAGGGTCACTCGACAAGGTTTTCACCCCCGTCGAGTTTCACAGAAAATAAAGATTTTGAAGTATTCATGGAGAGAGCTTTATATGATAGAGATTTTCTATACGACTTTTCCATATTCGAATCATAACTCAAAATGATGATTATTAATTAAATATCACTACTGATAAAGGGGAAATAATGTGATTAGAACTTCTTTCCCTTTTTCAAAGATGAAGAAACATTACCCTTCGAGTAATTCTCGACGATACCACTCATCATAATGAAAGTGTGATAAAAACTTGAGTAAAAGCTAAGGAAAAGAGAAGGTTCCTTGAAATAGGAAGGTGAGGGCACTGAAACATGGAAGAAATCTGTCAAATCGAAGCTTTAGCACTTTAAAATTACGAACATGTGACGAAGGTCACTCTAGGAAGTAAGTACTCTCAAATAAGAGGGAAAAACTCAAAGAGAGAAGGGAAACTCAGTCTACGATGAGGCTATAAACTTTCTTCACATTCTCTTTACATATTTATATAAATACAAAGGCAATCAAACAGATCAGATCAAAATCAAGAAATAAAGACAGCTGCACTCGAATGTACACAAGTACATAGGAAACTGAGCCATATCACCTTATACCTTTTTGGATCACGCATCAAAGAAAAACGATGAAACGTTTCAATGATGGGATTGCATTAATTGCCCCCATTCACATCACTCTATGGCAAAACCAAAGCGTCGCATGCCATCCGATGCCTGGATGAAATTCCTTTGAGGCCGACAACTATTAGTGAAAGACTCTGATAACACGAAATCATATAGATATTTTCATGCATAATTCAACTAAAGTCTAACCGTTTTCGATCCGATTTCGGGTTATTTCCATGTATTTGTCTGATGTTTTTGCAGGTATTCAACGATCACGTCTAAACAAGGCAACATGAAGAAAAGAAGCAATCCCAGATGAAATATGGACGAAAAAGGAGTGAAAACACAATGAAAAGCGCAGCAGACAGTTTTTGCTGATGTGACGACCGTCACAGATGCATGACGACCGTCACACGGGTGACGACCGTCACACCCTGTGACGACCGTCATGCAGGCAAAAACGCCCCACTCAGATTACACGTCAAAAGAGCAGTTCCAATTCCCATTAAATGGTCCACTACTCCCTAAATTATCTGCCTCAAGGTCCATCATCCTCAGAGGTAACCGTTGGAATCCCACCTCTATAAAAAGGGAAGCAGGGGACTTCAAAAAGGGAGCTGCATTCATACCACGAAGTGCTGCCAAATTTACTTTCCAGCAAATTTACTTTCAGTCATTATTTGTATTCATTTCTCCAGTTTCATTTGTATCCCTTTCCTTTATTTTCCTTCCCATTCTACTCATTCCCATTTCCGCTCTTCTGTATTTGTTACTGCACTGTACGATCGAATTGGAACTAAAGACAGAATCCTGCCAACGTTTGTGGAGGATCTGCCCAAAGGCCAATTGGCATTATTTACAGGTTTTCATTTTGATCGACTCTTATTTTATCATAATGCAATTTATTATTTATTATTATTATTTATGTTTTGTTTTTCCAAATTCCATGTCTAGCTAAACTTAGGTAATCGATATGTAGTAATAATTCGGATGGGATTTGATAACTCTTGTTTGAAAACTTTCTTTTCACAAAAATAACTTATGGTCTAAGTGTTTAAAAATTGATTTACGAAATAAACTTCGTCGCGAAAGCGAGAACTTGTTTTAAAGTAGTTTTGCCACGAAAGTGGGAAATTAATTAAGATACGAACCAACAAGCGAAAGTTGCGGTAAGGTCAGATAGTAAACACTAGGCATTTGTTTTAATAACAGCGAAAGCACTTTAAAACTAATTAGAACTTAGAGATTTCCAAAAAGTAATTTTAACCCCGAACGGAACACGAAAGTGTACGTTAGGCCCTTAGGATTATGATTAGCGTCAATAACCATCGTGAGACGAGAGTCTTCAAATCTCCACTTTCTGCTTAAGTAAACTGCGAAAACTATTTCATACACTAGTAACTTATCAAATCCCTGAAGAACATAACTACTACGTATCGATTCAATTAATTAAAATCTTAATAGTAACCTTAGTTTCCCCTCTTAGTGACAATCTTATTCCCTTAAAACATATTCTACCTAGCTAAACATAGTAACTCCCGAGAACACTAGTTTGATTACG